TAACAACGTTCTAAGGATTTGACACAGAGCTCAGCAAGTGCAAGAAATCAACATTGAACAGGCGACCAGACGTGAGGAAAGCAGAGACCGTGAGCCACCTGATAAAACGCCGGCTGTCCCCTAGAAACCATACAGGAAGGTTGAGAGTGTTTGATTAGAAGATGAGTGTGTGTGGAGTGAGCTCTGGTAACGGCACAAGTGCCGGGTTCTCTGTTGTCCTCTCCTGCAGAAGGAAGGTCACAGATGGATTTGCAAGATAGGGTTTGGGAAAGGCTTCTTGGCCTCAGGGGCAGAGGGAGGCTGGAAAAGCTGAAAGCAGCCCCACTGCCTGGAGAGAGATGTGAAAGCATCCCGTCCTCCGTGGGCTCCCTGCACGGGGTTTGGAGGTGAAGGTGGACCACGGTTCTCCTCCTGCCATGCAGAAGTGACCTGGGTCCTTAGTGAGGCTGTGGCCTGGAGCAGCACTGCAGTGGTAGATCCCTCAGCAACTCACTTGGGTTTGCTTTAGTCGAGGTCTGTGGTGTTGCTGTGTGTTTGTGTAAGTTCCTGTTTGGAGCTATTTCTGTTACTTGCACGTATTAAGTAGCATATACTTAATATATAAAAAAATACTTAAAGGGTGGGTGTCAAGAGGATGGGGACAATCTTTTTTCAGTGATGCCCAGGGATAGGACAAGAGGAAATGGGCACAAACTTGAATGGAAGAAGTTCCACCTAAACATGAGGAGGAACTTCTTCACTTTGAGTGTGGCAGAGCCCTGGAAGAGGCTGCCCAGAGAGGTGGTGGAGTCTCCTTCTCTGGAGACATTCCAAACCTGCCTGGACACGTTCCTGTGCAACCTGCTCTGGGTGGACCTGCTTGGGCAGGGGGGTTGGAGTAGATGATCTCCAGAGGTCCCTTCCAACCCCATAGCATTCTGTGATTCTGTATTGTTCGTAGCACTAAATCACGAGATCAAACTTCTCCAACTGGAGAGTTGCCAGTTGTTGATCACTACATTCAATACTTTCTGTGCTAAATTTTGTGTTTCTGGTTGTGAACACACAAAGGAAGTAGCCTGGTTTCCAGACTTGGTCTGAAACTCTATTTGTGGTGTGCAAGTGTCTGTTATGTTTCATTAAAGTGCTTTCAGAAAATGTTATGTGGAAATGTAGTGAAATCTAATTAATTGGTAAAGCCTATTTGTAAACCACATTGAAGAATTTTTGCTATTTCTACTGAAAGTGCCGTCTAATTATATTATGTGTGCTTTACAAAGAAATTCAAACGTAATAAAATGGAAATAGCAAATCTATCGAATTACAGCAGATAAATATTTAGAGCAATTCCTAACAGCAGAATTTTAGAATAAACTCCATTACAACAAACTAAGGTTAGTTTAACCATATCCTTCCCCTGTGTATGTCGTGCGGGGGCTGCTGTGTCTCCGTGTGCTGGGTGAAACGGGCTGTTGGGCTGGTAGGACCACGCGGTGGGAGAGGGATGTGACCCGGGCAGAGCCGGGCACGGCTTTCGGGGAGCAGGACTGCACTTGTCATGCACCAGCCACCTATTTTGTAAAACAGAAGCATAAACCTTTTTTTGGTAATTCTCAGCTGATAATAAATGAAGGATGGTTTATTGAGCCCGCTGGTTTCTGAGCTGTGCCTCTGCTTGGCTTACAGAGGCTTCCAGTACCCCTCAACCGAGCCTTCTTTTTCTCTGTCGATACATATCTAGTTGGTTTGAAATGCAGATGGAGAAGTGTTTAATACCTCTTTTTCCATATTTTTAAAATACTGCTAAAAACTTATGTAGAAATGTCTTTTTTGATGGAAGTGTAGTTAACTCAGTCCCTCAGGGTTGTCAATGAGCCTGTTGGGGCCATCGGAGGAAAGGTGACCTTAAAATGTACCTTCTCGGTTCCCTTTCTCACTATCAGAAATAAAATACACTCCCTTTCACATGTGTTGTCCTAGAGACATATTTTCCCAGTAAAAAGAAACATTTCCTTTGACAATAAAAGAAAAGATAACTTAAAATTTCTTCAGCCTGAACTTGGCAGAGAATTTCACCGTCTAATGGTGCCACCACATGTTGCTGGCCGAAGTGATAGCTCTCAGGGGAGCCTGGTGTTGCCAGGAACTACAAAATATGTTTTGGTATTAGAAATTATAAGGAAGAAATGAAATATGCAGCTCTTGGGGCTCTCACATTGCTTATGATTCATTTCCTGAAATATGTGAGTGACTGCACTTGGACTGGTTCTGCCCAGGCTGTGTGTGCCATGGCAGCATGGGGAGCTATTTTAAGAGGTTTTTCTACTCACTGGCCCACTGAAGAAGCTGGGAAATTTTTTTGTTTGTCATATATTTTAAATATACTAGCGTAAACTGGCCACAGTAAGAGAATACTAGCATAAGATTACCTCAGTTAAAATTAGGAGGACCTTCAGTAAATGACAGTAGTCCCACTTGTACAGAATTTTTGGACCGATTGCCATCATTTCTAGTCACGTGCTTGGTTTTTTTCCAGACTTGGAAAGCCCTGCAGAAATCAGAGAATAAAAATACCTTTCTAGTTTTCTCCATTCCTCAGCAATCCCCATCTAATTACAACAATGCTCAGAATTTAAGAAAGTCATTCTAAAGTAAGAAAATTAGGTTCGAGTTTGATGAATCATGGACTGAATTAAGTTGCTGTCTTCTGTATCTTTTTAAGAATAGAGGTAGAAGTCACTTTAGTTAAGATGCTGTTGTTTTATACAGACATTTATTTAAATAAGTTAATCAAGATGCGGAAGAGGAATTTGTATTCCAGCTTTTAAATACGGCTTTTTTTCTGCACTGTTGCTATGGAGAAGCATGTAAATATTTGTATCCCCAACTAAGTTTACTTCCCTTACAGATGGCATGGAAATACAGATAAAAATGGTAAAGAAGAGTTATTGTAGGTGGGTTTTTATCATGTGAGTGATGTTTTGGAATGGGTTCAGGGACAGGCTAGCAGCAAAGGAAAGTGGAAAAGTGCTGTGTTAAAGCAATCTTTATGTTAAGGAATAGAAATTGAATGAAAGTGTCCATTGTATTTGAGGCTTCCTCTTTTCCAGCTTTTTTGATAGCATTATTAGGTATTTGTGTTCTAGTAGCTCATACGGACTGGGCCATTTGTGTAAAATGAGGTACAAGCACAATAGAAAGAACTTCAGCTCAGATGCACGTGTCCATCCACCACTGGGTGGATGATATGGAAACTACACCATTGCTTAGGAGTTGGAAACTGCATAAATTATTTCTTGGTGTGATCAGTCACATTTTTTCATGTCCAGCCTTGTTCTTTCCTTCTCCGCCAGATTGCCTGGAAGGTGGCAGTCATGCTGGACACCAGGCTGTGGCCTCCTCAGCTCCAGCAGATCTGTGCCTTGTCCTTTGGGCTGGTCTCCATCTCATCTCCTTCGACTGTTGTCCTGCAGTCATCTTCTTTGGGGGCTTAAGTCACTTTAATTATTTCTTAGTATATCGAGGTGGTTTCCAGCCTTCCAGACCTGTCAAGACCCTTAGCTCATAACGCCAGGTGATGTGTGAGAGACACCTTTGGCACAGTTTAAATTATTGCCTTGGTGAATTCTGTATTATGAAACATCCTCTTTAACAAGAAGCTTCAAAGAGTGGCTCTGGTTGCTCTTATTCAGCAGATATTTTCGATACCTGGAATTGTTATTCTGGTTTCACGTTGAGATCTCTTTGGTGATGTCCTAAGATAATGAAACCAAAAAAAACCGGTTAACAACAGGATTGGAAATAACACGTCACCACAGTGGTCTGCTACCTCTTTCTTGTATCACAGGATGTTTTTGTTCAATTCAACAGCAGAAAAAAATGGGCAATACTGAAGTACTGAGTACCAGTTACAGCTTAACATTCGTGCAGTGGGATACTGGGGGCAGCTTGTGTCAGAACTTCATTGACCTCTTAAGATCCCTTAAAAACTTAAATATTTAAGGCTAAATGACTTTTATGATTTTTCTAAAAATAGAAAACCTCTATAGTATTGAAGACTTCACAGCAAACTAAAATTTTACATCTATAAAGAATGTACCTGTCCTGGTCTCAGTTGGGATAGAGTTAATTTTCTTCCTAGTAGCTGCTGTGTTTTGGATGTAGTATGAGAATAATGCTGATAACACATACTGGCTTAGTTGTTGCTAATTAAGTTAAGGACTTTTTCAGCTTTCCATAGAAGGTGAGAGGGAGCAGAGAGAGGCCGAGCTGGCCAAAGGAATATTCCATACCAGAGGCATCATGCTCAGGATGTACATGGGGGCTGGCTGGGGGCAGGGATCCGCAATCACTGCTTGGGACAGGACAGGCAACCCATCATTGGGTGGTGAGAGTGACTTGTGCTGCATCACTTTATTTTGTATGTTCTTTTGCCATTATTACTGTCATTATTATTATTTTCTCTTCTCGTACTGTTCTATTAAACTGTCTTTATCTCAACCCATGAGGGTTTTTTTCTTTTTCTCCCTCTTCTGCCCATCCCTGTGGGGTGGGGAGTGAGCGAGGGGCTGTGTGGTACTGGTTGCTGACTGGGGTTTGGACACAACAGTATCTTAAAAATGTGCCTGCCTCCACCAGGAGCTTCCCCCAGCCTTTCATCGTGCCCTTCTTCCAGCAGTTGCCCCTGGCCATAAGCCTGAGGGGGCAGGGTTGTTCCTGGAGCTGTTGGGCCCAGTAATTGCAGCGTAAGGCCTTATTTATCATAAAAAGAATTAATTAACATACAGGTTACATCATCGTTTGCTGAGTCTTTTGGTGGGAAAAGCAGTATTTCTATTAAAAGTATCATTTGTAAAAGTCAGGCGTAACAGACTTGTGGTTTTGAACTAACGAAACTTAATTTTTTCGTGTAGTTTGGTTATTCAGTTGGATTCAGAAGTGTCCTGCTTTCAGACTGTGCTGTTTTGTGTCACTTGTCACCGTGCTGAGCGTGCCTCTTCTCCTTGCCCCCTCTCTCACAGCAAATGAAGCTGGCGGCCGAGTCGCTGAAGGAGTGACCGGGGAGGCAGGAGGGTGATGATGGTGGCGACCACGTGTGACCACGGGCACTTCTGGAGCCTTTCTTCATGGTGATGGGCAGCGCTCACAGCGTGCACTCTGCCAGCCATTCAGTAGGTGCCACCTGCTTATATGACACTTGGTAAATATTCTCTGCCTGACACTACAAAAAAAAAAAAAGAAAAAAAGGTATTTTTTTTTTCATAAAGCACTCCAGCGTATGCTGGGTCTGGCTGGAATCTGCCAGGCTCACCCTGCTCTAAGTGATTGAAAACAGATCCTGTGAGCAAGCATCCAGAAGCTGACTAGAGTTTGCAACTGCAACTTTGTAAAAGAGAAAAAAAAAAAAAAGAAAAGAAGAAGATAGAGTATTATTTAATTCGCAGCGTATGGTCCCTTTGGGGCTATTGCCCCTTTTGTTTCTTTATTACAAATCATGTATTTTTTTCCAAGACTGCTTATTAGCTACTGTTTGCACATAGCAAATTAGATTAAATATTTTATACATTGCATAATGAAATACGTGATTGTTCCCTATATGATCTGAGAAATATTTGAACATTATTATTATAAAGTATGCATTATATACTCCTGCGTGCTAGTTATCTAAATAAGCCCCAGCTAAAATCTTTTGAAAAGCTAGGTAAAAAACACTCAGTAGGAAACAGATTGCTGATCGGTAATTTATGAAGTATATTTATTTTTTAATTTACATTACATTTTGGTATCACTTCCCTGGCCCTTGAGCTGCAGCATTGTATGAATGGGTCTTTTGATTAATGGATCAATTAAACTTGATATGCTAGTACTCGTGTATGTGGTGAATATCTGATTTTCTTCCTTGCATTTCATAAATACCTTCATAAAAGGTAATTTTCCTAACGTTTTGTTGTTTTCTGACAGTAATAGGACCAAAATCTACAGTGTTTGCTCCCATGACCTCGAGACAGTTTATTTTCTCCCACTGTGACTTTCATCTCTGGTAGATGTAACTTACCTATAGGTGAGACTCGCTGGAAATCTGTTGGAAAAAATCTGCTGTTATAATAATTAAGGTATTTGTCTACTTTGCACATTTCAGATTTCTGCCACAGGGCCCCCCCAGCAGAGCAATATAACTAAGCCAAAATAATGTATTCCATCTGGAATTTAAAATTAGCATTTCTCAAACTCTCCAAGCGTGACCCAGTGAGGAACGGCTCCGTTCCCTGGGGAGGAGGAGCAAACCCGTGCTGCAGCTGCTGCCTCTCCTCTGCCTTCTCCCACGGCGCCGCCCCCACGCTGACGCTATTCCAGGGCTTCCTCAGGGGCTGCTGCTCTTCCGCAGCCTCCAGCAGAACCCACAGCAACCAGGGACCTAAAACCTAAAACAAAGCTTTTTTGAGGAGACCGGCATATTCTCCACGAGAGCTCCCCAGCTTTGCAGTTTATGGGCCACTTGGATCCAAAGTGGCTCGTGTTTGTTCAGGTTTTGAGTGAACGGTTCAGGAGGAGAAAAATCTGTGGGAAGGGTTCCTGGTGGGATATGTTCTCATGAGCTTGTCACAGCAGTTTGGAAGGGATTCTGCGGGTCTGCTAATTTATGCTGGTTTATGAGCGTAAAGTTGGTGTGTTTTGCTGATGGCAACTGTATCAGGTGTCTGGAATAATTTTCTGATGAGGAGTTAGAAAAGGAATCGAGTCGTGTCTCAACAGCCATCATGTGAAGAAGAAATAAGTAGACTCCTGCAGAACTGACTTTGTGGTTGTCCTTGTGGTGCTTCCGTTCTCCTCCTTTCTGAAACAGGAACATCTACAGTGAGGTGACATAAATCACGTTAGCGGTTGCTCTTGCCTTGGGCAGATCCCTTCACTTCTGCTTAGTTTCCTTATCTGTAAATGTGGATGATACTGTTCTTTAGGTGGATTCTGCACCTAAAGCTAGTAGTTGTGGAGGAATTATGACCTTCCATAGTGTGAGTGAGTGAGAAGGATGGGAATCCTTTGTTTTATAGGAATTAGAATTTGTTCTAGATACTGGGAGAACTCTTGGTGTAGCATCACAGCGGCTACACAATCATGATGGTGTTTTCTGTCCCAGAGAGCACACACCTTAGCTTCTGGGAAATGTCACCTGTATATTGCCAAGTGATGCTGGTCACCAAACTGAAATCCAGCTCCTATCCCTCTGTATGCTGCTCTGGTGTCCTTTTCCTGGGCATTTGCTGTGTTTCATACTGTTTTATTGGGATTTTGGTTGGTTGGTTGGTTTGTTTGTTTTACATTGATGATGTTACCTGTTTTCATTTCTCACTCGAGAGAAAAAAATGTTTCTGTCTCTGCTTCTGAGTGCCTGTGTTGTTTTCTTTCTTTCTGCTGTAGGTGCATCTGTAAAAACTGTGGGAGGTTAGGGATGAAACTTACTGACAAACATCTGTTCTCAGATGAAAATATTAGAAAGAATAAATACGATATTTACCAGTAACTGCCATTCACAAGCTGTGTAGTCTGTGTGACTGCGCAGGAACAGAGGCTTTATTTTCCCATTGTCCTCAGGCCACCCCCTGGTGCAGAGCTGGTGTAGGAGGCCCTTGGTCTGGGTTTCTCATCATGCAATAGAGGAGGGCACAGCAGGGTGCAGGGAAGTGTGTGCTGAAGTGACAGGAAACAAAGCCACCTCCATCAGAGGTGTCTGGTTCCCCGTAAGTGTCCTCTGTCTTCTTCCTTGGGGTCATGGAGCAGTTTGTGTACAGCAGAAGCTGCAGCTCACCTTCAGGCAGAGGGTAGTGGGTTCATGCCGGGTTGTGGAAATGTGAAATGGGCTCTGAGCAGCTGCCCCAGGACTGGGCACGGCCCAGCTCCTGCGTTCTCCTACGGGCAGCAGGTCCTTAGACATCCATGGCACAGTCCATCATCCGACGAGAGAGAGCCCACAGAGACAGCCTGTCAGGAGCACAGACAGACCTGGGTCTGTGGCAGATGGTCTAATGCCTGCAGGGGGTCTAAGAAACAAAGTGCATTTCTGCTCTAAAGCTTTAGGGAGACACCTAGGATGAGACTGGAGGCATCCTGCTTGGGAAGACAACTCTGTGGGAGTAACCTGTACCTATCCACAAGGCCTTTTAGCAGCAGCAATTCCAACCAAGAAAGCTGTTTTTAAAGAAAAGGGAAGTCATAAATAATTTACTGGTGATACAGTCAGGTACATTGTGAGCCACGGGTCTAATTGTGTGGGCCAGAGGGACCTGCAACTCAAGATCTCTACTGTACCTCCTGGACTGCAGCACCTCCCGTGAACTTGAGGACAGTAGAAGAGGAAAACACTGGAATGGCAACATGGGGAAAGGCTTCTCTGTGAGCAGGCAAGCGATTCTGGGTATTTTGGCTGACCCCAATCTGAGGGAATTGATCTCGAATCTCATTCAGGACTTGCACCGATGGAGAACTTACTTCTTCATTCAAATAAGCAAAGGCAGCAGGACCCACACCTGCTGCCCCCATGGGCTTTCTCCAGGAGAGTTCTCCCCTGCCCCATCCAGGAGCTGGCAGAGGAGGCTGGTGACTCACCTGGTGCCCCAGGAGAGGTGGGATCTCTCTGCACCCCTCGGTATGAAACCAAGCAGCGATGGCATCTGTCACCCTGGTGTGATGGGGTGACACTGGGCAGGGTGTCATCAGCCCGTCCCGCTGGCTCCCAGCTCTCCCAGGCCTCCCCCAGCCCTCTGTTTCTCAAGAGAGAGGGGTGAGAGGGAAGAAATAGGAAGATGTTACACAAGGGCTTGCTGAAATTAATTGCTAAGGAGATCTGACATGGCACATCTGAGAGCCTAGTGAAGTCCTTGCAAAAACCACATGCTTTTCAAGTCCTCTAAAGCACCAAGTACACTTGCATTTTTCATGTGACATAATTCTTCTACCAGCTGGGAAGGTAAATAGAGATAATTTTTTCCCCTAGCATAATAGGCTTTACTCTGTCACTAATTCAGGGTTCTTGACTTGTAGAAATTGATGTCATTTGTAATACACACAGATAGGCCAAACGGAGTCAACGTGTTACGAGTAATAACAATTTTAAGCTCAAAAAAAAAAATAGCCAAAGCCTATGGTTGAAGAAGGGAACAGGCTAAAACTACGACATGCACATCGCTCTGGAGGCAGGAGGCAACTGAACAAGTGAGTATCTTACACTTCCCCAAGTACAAGCCACCTTGAGGTGTAATTACTCAAAACACCTTTTAATGAAAGCGAGTCATAATCTGGACCTAGTGACAGACAGATCTGACCCTGGGAAAGGCTGTGGGGTGGCTGGGCTGCCTTTGGGACATCCCGTTTGCCCCTGTTCTGTTTATTGCCAGCTCTGTAACTGGGTAGACATTTCTTTACATGCTAATGAAAAATTCATTTTTAAAAAAATCTGACCTGTGTGTAACAACTGCTGAGATGTTGCTGCTTGGCCTTGTTGTCCCAGAGCAGAGGGTAGCACAAGCGAGTCCTCCTGCCACCTCCACCGTGGCTGGGAAGCTCACCAGCAATGGCACCTGCCCAGCTCCAAAGCCTGTGGGTACAGCCTCGCACAGCCAGCCAATCAAAAAGCAATCATACAGTAATTGCGTATAATTACATGACCTGTTAAATGCCATTAATCCCAAACTCCCGGTGTCCATACTCTCTACAGTTCAGTTAAACCACAGCCTCCCTGTGGAGTCACTGCAGGATGTGCTCAATGCTCCAGCCCAGGTCACCAGGGACAGCCCCAAGGGGAAACTGGTAACGGGCAGGAGAAGACACCAGAAACCAACCCACAAAGGTGGGCAGGACCTGTTCCAGAGACCCTGGCCAGCGTTGCTGCCCCCTCCTCAACCTGAGCTGCTTTTCACAGTACCCTGGAGAAAATACAGCCAAAAAAATGCATTACTCTCCTAAGGACATGTTAAGACACAGCAGTTTGTAAGTGGTGACGGTGACAGCACACGCCTGGGTCTGAGCTTCCCCATTTCACTGGTTCCCTCTCTCTGTGCTGACAGACCTGGTTTGAGACTCAGCCTTGGGGAGCAGATGTTTCCCAGCAGCATGGGGCACAGCTGTAAGAGGTACTCTGTGAGTGGAATTAACTCCTGGGCTCCTGTGACAGCAGAGCCTGTGTGTGGACAGGGCTGCCTCTTGCCCTGTGGTTTCGGGCCTGGGGACAGTGGCTTTTGGGGCAGAGACACTTCTGACCTGCAGCTGCTGGTGATAACAGTTGGGTTTTTCACTGTTTTACCCATTTTACATTGCAAAGAAGAATGGTGCTGGGGGAGGTCTGGATTAAAAACAATCTCTACTGATGAGAATTCAACTCGCAGTAATCTCCACAGAAAAGAAAATAATAAAATGTTAGTTTACACATTGGCTATGCAGATTTGGGAAAGTGGTGTGCAACCAGCCACTCATCTAAGAAGAGCCTGAGACAAGCAGAGCCCCTCTGCTCTCCCCAGTGCTTAGAGCAGGGCTGGGGGAGGGATCCCTTCCCCCCTGGGGTGAGACTCAGCTGACTGTTCGGGCACACACAGCAAATATTTTAACTGTAATTTTGAACCCATTGTGTCCCGTGTTCCACAGCTGCCAGGCCCAGCAGCAGCTTTGCTTGGGTGGCAACCTGGGCAAGCATCTCAGAAGCCTACACGCTTTTAAATGGTTTACTGAACCATTTAAATAATTCAGAAGTAAACAGCCACCTCAACCTTTACACCAAAAATGACTTTAGCAGATGCCAACCGTGACAACTTCTAAACACAACTAAACAAGTTTGATCTCTGCAAGAGAATAACTGAAAGTTTGCAGTTTAACACACGTCCA